ATTGTGGACAATCTTTTCTGGCTCTGCACAGTGCATACTGGAGGTGAATCATCCATACCATTCATTAAGGTGAAACACAAAGCCCCACTGGTGCACAGACCCCGTGCTTGGACCTCTGCGAAGGACAGTGAGACCCTGACCGTCTCTCCTGCAGCCCGCTCTCCAAACAACCGTGGATTGCAACTGTACCTGGTCCTAGCTCAGCTCTCTGAGGTGAGGGGAGACTTCTTGTTCACCTCGTCCCGATCTGCAAGGAACGACCAACAACCTCGCCTCTACAACGAAACAAAAATACTTGTCCAAATGGTTTTTACCTTCCCTCTTCAGCATGGGATTGTGGGTAGCTGTCACGCCTAATTTTGTAGATCTCTTTGGCCATGAAGCTTGGAAGCCTTGTACATCAGTCATCCAGGAGAAAGTCCAGCCAGCAATTACAGACACCTCTATGTGGTGGGGCACCGTAGGAATGGCAGCCTGATTTCCCTGTTTTTCTCTGGGTGTTGGTAATTCTTACTGTAGCTCTTGAAAATCTTACTGAGAACAAACATAACTAAACTGCGCTGTACTTTGTAGACTAATGTTTAATAAAGTTACAAACTGTGTCTATTTACCATAAACCTATCTCTCCTAAATGAAAGCTTAGTGGGCCAGTAATGAATAGTTTTAATACTACTTTCCCAGATTTCCTTTTCAGTCATTTCAATGTGGAATTGGCATTCATTTGAATTGCCAGTGATGCTTAGGTTCAGACTAAATAGAAGCATTTTCTTCTTCCAACCTACGGCTTTTCTGAACAAACTGACTATTAAAACATGATAAGCATTTATTTAATTGCTTTCTGAGCAAATCCTAAGCCATACAACAGCATGGAGGTCAAGAACAGAAAATCTCTGACATTTCAGAATGCTATCATTAGATGAGACCTTGAGACATCTGTATGTGTATGTTAATGGCTGTTCTGCTTTCACATATAATGACCTATTTCTCGTAGAAGAGCTAATATCTATAAATTTTTCATTTGCTGCCTAGTAGATTTCAATAAAAACTTAAGAGGTTTGAATTCAGTATGTGTTTCATGGATTACTACTCTACAGATTTTTTTCAGCTGCTTAAAAGTAACAATATGCAGAGAATGCACTGGCCTGTTTTATACCTCTCTCTCAAAAAAAAAAAACAAACCAAGAAACACATTCTGCTGTGTCAGAAATCCTGTTTAAGTATATAAGGGTTTATTAGTTTTTTGATGATTTTGGTCATTATTAGATCAATAACCCCAAAACATACAGTATTAAATGTAAAAATAAATTCCATCTCGTCTGAGCCAGTGTTACTCCAGGAGACAGAGTCCATGTGCATGTACTACATACATCATCCTAGCTGTCAGAGCAGGGCTCTAATGTTCAAGTGATTTAAGATTATAGATCATAGGCCACTTGCTTCCCCTTAAGTAATAATAATAAATACACTAATGCTTTTAGTGTCATTGTTAATTCCTTATTTGTGAACACTCAGAGACAGGTTGAAGTGCTGTGGTTTGAAGATGGGATTTGAAGATAAGCTGTGCCCGAGGAGAACAGTGAAGTCTAATCTGTGTGCTTAAGGCACCATTGCTTCGGTGTGGAAGATCAACGCCTCTCCCACATGTAAACACAATCAATGGAAGCTTTAAAACAAAGTTCTGTTTGAGACAGACATTTCCCACAAGCAGCAAGGACTAGATTTTCATTAATTTTTCTCCATGCTAACTTCCACTTTGTCTTCGCTGCTTGTCTGATACGGACTCATCCTTTCTGGTTTTAGCTAACACCTTATTTAGAAAAGTGTCATTCGAAGGTAGATATGCGAGTTCTGACACAACACATCTACACATGTTAAATGGTAGTAATTCCAATCAAGCTGTACTTCAAATTCAAGTGCATGAAGTTAAAATCTTTAGTTATCAAAGAAGCACATACACGTGCTTATTTTTAGTACCTCAAATTGCTAGGATGGTTCATCACCATAGGAACCTACTGTAACACTTCTTACATATATTAATCTTCTTGTCCTCTGAATTTAGATTTCAAAACAAAGCCATTTCAACATGCTGAGTGACTGAATGAAATGTATTGTAAATCTGTGGCAAGCGAGGTTGCAAAACACATTCCAATGTGACAGTGTAGGTATATTTGGAACAGTTTAGGATGTAATAATGTACGTTAGGTTTAAAAACAACCGTGGATGACGGAAATTGTCTGACGGAAACTGGAAAGTTTAGAAACTCTTCACTAATTTCCACGTGTTGTGAGCATACGTGCTTTGCAGGATAATAAGCTTACTGAAAGACTTAAAAAGAACTGGAATGGGAACTCATTTGATCCAAAAATATCTGGACTACAGACTGGGTAGGATCTCACTGTTGGAGCTTTGAAATCCGGACTGGAAGGAGCCCCTAAGGCAATGACCAGGCTGCTAAGGTGAGCAAGAGAAGCTAGTCAAGACCTGGGTCAGTAATCCCCTATTCCAACATACACTGGAGCACTGTCTGGATTTAGCAGCTCAGCTGCAGGTGCAGCGTAATCTTGCTAGCCTCAGTATGTTAATGGTAATAAATTTAAGCCTGTGTACCTTGGAGGTCTCTATAGCGTGCTTCCATCCACTTGATGCTCTGGGGTTAGCACAGATGGATTCAATTTAAATGCAGAGTGCCTTAAAATGGACTTGAAGGGATAAAGATGGAACTAATGGAAGAGGAATGCTCCACCCTACAAGACTAGCCTCTGGAACTGTACCACTGTCCCCCTCAACTCTCAGCTGGGATTTACGTTTTCTAATTTGTCTCAGTGAAGCATATCACAACACTGTCCAGAGTGGAAATAAAGGTAGGAAAACTGTTGTGTTATGAAACAGCTTTCTACCCTTCTTCCAAAACCAATCTTCACTACATCAATCTTCAGTTAAGGTCCTGAAGCCAAAAGCAAACTGCCTTAAGCTCTCATACAGACTCAGGGATGCTCAGTGTGGGCACTAAGGGCTGCTGGTGCTGTTGCTTTTGCAGACTTGCAGGCTGTAGGGGATACAAAATACCAACATATTCAAACCGATGCTCAAGTTCTTACGTTTATCTCGTCTCTGTTCTTCTGCAACACTGGCTTTTCTGGGAAGTTCGATTAGATCCAAATACTGATGTCCAGATGCAGAGGTTCCTGAAATCCTTCCACTGTTATAAATAGGTTTTGGATCCAGGCCTAAGTTTAGGCAAGTCTTTACCAAGGGAAAATTGTTAAAAACCTAAGTCACAGATTTTACAGCCATATCAATTATCTAGCTAAGCAGCCATTACTGTCTTACAGACCAGAGAACACTGCTTACCACAAGCTGAAGATTATAGCTCTAACTGCATTTTTATAAGCTATAAAACCGGACATGTGGAAACTATGGAAGGAAATTTCAGTAATTAAAGCATAGGTTTTCCTCATTAACTGCAGAGCATCATTAAAATCTAAAGAAACTGTGGCAGAATAATACAGTATTCTGGCTTAACTACAAGGAAATAAATGCAAATGAAAGTTCCATTTTCACATGTTTTTTAGTTTACACTGTAAGACTGAATGCATTTATTGTAGTTTACAATAGAAAAGCTCACTTCTAAAATTGTATGAGTCAGCATTTGGAAGTTAGGGTATTAGTGTATAAGAAATTAACATATTAAGGAATGAGGCATACTGAACCAAAAAGTCAAAATCTGTATTAATTAATATTGTTATATTTGGTATGGTAAACTGAATTTCATTGCAGAAAATGAGTATGATAACTGTTGTTGCACCAGCATGATGTAAAACTAAATTTGTCAGTGTAGCAACTTTAATTTTGCATGTCTGAACAAACTGCATCATCATCCCATACTACACAATAGATTTAGACAAAGCAAGAACTTCAAAGCTCTGTAAACACTGTACATTTTAGGACATTAATTTGCCGTGACAATACCTTGCCCTCCCTCAGAAAATTGCTTTGTAAGTTCTCAGACAGCAAAACTTCATAGAAATTGGAGCCTGAGAGCCTAACTTCAGAATCACAGAATCACAGAATTGTAGGGGTTGGAAGGGACCTCCAGAGATCATCGAGTCCAACCCCCTGAGCTGATGTGTATCAGCTCTACAGATGTCGAAGGAACATCACCAGTCTCCAGCAATTCTAAATCTTAAAATATTAATTCTAGGCACTACAGGTGGAAACCCTCCCATCTGATTCCAACTCTCTAAAACATCCAGCCCAAAGCTAGGTAGACTTCACTACACACCTCTCAGAGAGAGAAGCTCGGAGGACAGTTCACTCGGTCCAACCTGAAAATGGATGAGACACTGTGCAGACAACCTTTTCCTTAACAGACCTTTGAAGACACCTGAATAACCACTCCTTTCTGAGGGCAAAAGTCAGATAGGACTTCCACCCAGCACAGCTGACAACACTACCACATTTTCTGCATCTTCCTGGCAAAACAAAGGCCTTAAGTTCTAGTTGAGAGATTTCAGCTCAAGATCAATCTCTGCTGCCATTAAATGTTATACTAATTAGGCTGATGGGAATGTCGATGTCTTGGACATCAGCAGAAGTTCCAAACCAATCAAACTCATTTCATTGCAACTCACAGATGCCAATACTTTTCAGAAAATACTGATTAGTGTAGGTTTGACATTAAATTATGTCCTCAGATATAATTTGAAGATGAATTTCCTGTTGATTTCAATAATTAAGTACATTAAAACTGTTTAGCATTTTGGCAAAGCAAGACTAGAAAGCAGAAAACATTTACCATAATGATAAAAGGCAAATTTCCAAAGTGGCACAATCACCGTTTTTGACAACATTCCATTTTTGGTCCAACCACAACCATAATAAGGGAGTAGCATGCAGTTAAGAATTTGTTAGTAAGTTACATGCCGTTACACAGTTCTGTTTCAAAGAAAGCATACAATATATACAAACTCTATCTAAATTGTTACCTCATGTACTCATACCTTCTCTGTGTCAATTCCTTTAGACATGGACCAGGTTGAGACAATATAATCCATGACTCTTTCACTAAGGCCTTTTGGGACTTGATATAATTTTAGGAAATCTCTCACATTGTTCAGCATTTCATGGTATCGGTTGGTGTTGGCATACATCTGCTGGAAAATTGTGGTGACGTTTCCAAAAATAGTTGCATAAAGAAGAGCTGGAAAAAAAAAAAATAAATCACAAAGACAATTAAAAATAAATACGCATGCTCCAGTAAAATGCCAGTCACTAATGATTTCAAAGACAGAAAAATGGCATCAGCTAACAATAGAAATTCCCAGGTGTACGGCCAGTAAGACAAGAGGAGGACGAGGCAGAGCAGGAAGCACTCCCTCAAAGCCACTCTTGGCATTACCTTCTTTTCTGGCTTGATTCTCCCCTTTCTAAACATGCTATCTTTACTTTCAAGCTTAGCCTGGTGAGTTGTTCTAAAGAATGACATGCTGTATTCAAGAAAACCACAAGTTCTGAGTAAGCCTTTCCAATTGATAAGGCATCATATCCAGTACACTACTGCAAGAGCGATGCGGTGAAACTCTGAAAGAGGACGGTTGATATCTGAAGCCTAAATCTGACAAAGCACTCAAGCAAAACCATAAATGTACACCTTTGCTCATGCTATCATGAACAGTGGTGGATTGAAATATAGTCTTAAAGCCAAGGAAGCTTAAAGCTCCTTATTGAGTCACAATATAATTACCCTTGCAAGGAAGCCCAAAATGACATTCTTCCATTAAGCAACACAGGTTTTGCAGAAAAGAGAATTATTCTGATTTCTCATAATGCCAATGCATGGCACTTCACTTCTGCTCTTGACATTATCAAATACACAGAAGTGTGCCTGTCATTTTTAATAATCTTTACTCAGAGGTACTGTATACTGAAGTTCAGCTATGCATTTCCACATTGCATTTAAAACAAAACAGAAATGGCAAAGAATAACCCATTGTGAAAGGAAAAATGCTTTCTGTCTCTCAGTGCATAATGTCTTCCCTCAACACAACACGTCTATATCATTCCAGAAAGCTCACTCTGTTTCGCAGTTATTTAATATTGTTTATCATCCCTACTCGAAAGATGGCATTTTTAAAGAAACATCATGCTTTCCTAAGGCCTATTCTATATAAAAAGAAGTGTATTTCCATATCGCACTGTGCTTCACTACATTAGTATAAAAATTAGATGCTGGAGTTCATGAGAAATACAACGTTCGCTGTTTCATCACAGTCAAAGGGGTTTTTTTGAATCTCAAATGACAAGACTGTACTGAATAAGGTCTTACAGAGAGGAGTGTAGACGAACAAGCTTTCAGTTTTAAAGAGCACAGCAGATGAATACTCTACGTGATTATGAAAAATAAAGCTCTCTGCACAGGGCAATTATTCCCCCCCCCCCACCCTCCCCCTTGCTTTACTGATCATTGTTTCATGTTTGTTAGCCACTAAAGGGTTTTCCATATCTCTGTGCCCACCTGTATAGATAGCAACACTTCTCTGAGTATATGAACATTAATATCATGAAAAGTTTAGGATGGATGCCCCCTGCATTGGGTTCTTTTCAGCTTTCTTTGCTCCTCTGGATTTTGCAGCTGGACAAGCTTGACAAAGTACCACTTCCAAGTGTGACATTCTTCATCCTTCTGATGTGCTCATTTATCTCAAACTCAGCTCATCAGATATGTGAGCGCAGAACATCTCCCTTTCTCACCTTCTGATGATGCAGTGTTAAAATGACTCTGACCATAAAGGTAAAGAGAAATCAGAACTGGCCCCACAACCCTGCCTTTCTGCGTGACTGAAATGTATTAAATTCTGGAGCTATATTCACATTCTGTCACGTGAATAAAAATGGCAGTGCACTCAGTGCAACCTGGCCACGTAAACCCCAGGAAAAGACACAGGCTGATTGAAAACGTGACACAGTGCCCTGTTAGATAAGGAAAAAAAAAATACTCGGCTCTGATACTTGCCAGGCTGGAAACAGTTATGTGTGCCATGGCTAAAACAGCTTGTCTGAAGCAAATGGCACATACACCCTCCTCTGCAAAAATAAAGACTCTTTGGCAGGGAATATTTGTAGCAAATGCTCTGCCAGAAGAGAAATTCTAGTTCTGTGTCTCTTAATATAGGATCCTGGAAAGTTGTACCTAAAGAGAGCACGTCTGCTCAAGAAATTAAGGACAGAATAAATAAGATTGCAAAATCTAATGGAAACATTATCCCATAGAACTCCAGTGAGCCAGAATTCACAAGCCTACAAGCCACAGAGCCTGCATACAAGTTACATTTGCTTATAGGCACACAACTTGAGGATGGGCGCAGCAAACATCACAGAGAGGGGCCGGACCAGGGAGGTGAGCTGGCTCTGCTCCTCAGCTGGCTACTCTCTGCATGGACAGCTGGCAGCCTCTGAGATGTGTGGGCACTGCTAATGGGCACTCCTCAGCTTATAAGAGCTGAAAGCTCTCTGTAAGAGACCCATAATTTGCAAAGGAACACTTGCTTAATGAGCAAGTGTCACAGGGGCAGGTGTAGACACTACCTTTAATAAACAAAGGCAGAGGAGCGTTACTGAAGGCCTTTCACTTTTGGCTGGATTTTAATTATTTTTGGCGGGGAGAATTGGAAGCAAAGATCATCTGCAAGAGGTTTTGAAGCTTATAAAATACCGTGCGACTCCTGAATGCACGAGGATTTAAGCAATCTCTAAAATCACACATACACTTCAATAGTTTTAATTTAGTCTCTCCTTTTGCGAGAAGCTCAAGCAAAAAGGAAGAAATGATGCCACACAGGCTGGAGGGGAAATTACTTTAGCTGATTCCTTGAAATGACTGGCTAGGTCAGACACCATTTATTCATCTTCTCTTGAATGGGTCAGAGACCTCCATAATTCTTCTGTTTCCTACAGACATGCGATGCTCACTTACTTAATTGCTCCATCCAGGTAAATCTCAAACAGTCTTCACAAGATTTCATACCGATTCATTTAAAATAATGATGTGGAAATATTTCTGCTCAGTCCTAAAGATGGATCAACTGATATCTTAATTTCCATTTTAACTCTTCTGCGTTAAATAAGTGTTCCCTAAATTATATAGGAGGATCTAAGTGGTACATATTTTTATGTCTAAAATGTGTGTTGTGCTACTATACTCATACAGGCATAAAATATTTTTGCATGATTTAGCAACAGTGTTATATAAAACTTTAGGACTGTTTAAAAACAAAGAATTTTCATTAAAAAAAGAAAGAAGACTCAGATTTACTGAAATTATCCCAAAGTATTTCAGATCCCTTGTTATCCTGACTGCACGTTAAACAAATCCAAATAGGAACATCTGCATTCACGCATTGAAGACTTGACTGAGAAATGAAATTTTCTCTATGGTGTGCTTTATGATAAAGTATTATTTAAGGTTATACAATATACTTTTAAGTCAATTTCAAAGAAAGTGAAGCCTCAGTTCTGGAAAAACATGGATACTTATTTTTGCATGCTGCAGAGGCTAGCTGCACCTTCTTCAAAGAATTTTTGGTATTAGGCACTCTTCTAAGATTATTTGATTAATCTTATAAAAGCTACATCTTTCATTGGAGAGATTAGACATAAATCCAGCTTTGTAGATACTACACATAATTAGATATAAGCTCCAAATACAAATGTGTGAGCTATTTTAAAAGCAGAGCAGTTTTCTGTTACTCCTTTCCTCCACGCAATCACTCAGACCGCAAAGCAGCTGCAGGCAGTGCAAGTAAAACAAAAAAAAAGCAACAACCTCTTTCCTCCTAGTACACCTGCAGTCATATCACTGCAATATCTGTGCCAAATAACCCAATGTATTTATCCTCCCATAAGCCACACCAAAGCCTTGCTATGTCCAGCCAAAGACCAGGACTCTGCAGTGAATTTCAGCACTGAACTTCCCATCATAATCACCTGACTGCTAAAATAAGGGGAGTGCTGGATGCAACTGTGTTCAAGAAATTACTGCACCAGCATGAATCCATCACCCATATAGCCTATATGCTCTACATACAGTTCCTGCATCCAGATGTATGTCCCACATTGCCAGCACAGGGAGGTGGTGGTCCTCCATGCACTCATCTGTCTCACACTGCTGTCCACAGAAGGTGTTCAGCTCCTCCATGGCTCCAAGTGATATTTACCCCTGCTCTCCTGACTCAACACTTTCTGACAACATAGTTATGCAAACTCTAAATTAAGAGGATAATGATAATAATGATAGATTTGTAAAATCTCAGCTTGCACTGATGAGATATTTGACAAGAACTAAATAATTATGTAATTACAAGGATCATCAGTAGTAAACTGTAGGAACTGACACTTGCCTGTTCTTTTCTTTACATGGGCTGCTGTTTGCACAGCTGAGTGGAACAGCTGCTTTGGATGCAGTCACACATTTTGCATACTTTCCTCATAAATTCTTATAAAAACAAGAGCTTTCAACTGCACTTGTGCAGTCACTAATTTTTAACAGCAGCATTTTTGTTTATAAGAGCACTTAGAAAAAGGAAAATATTTAGTTTACAGCTCTGATGCCTCTTTGCCATGCAAATGTGATGTGCTATATTTTGGGACACAGTTCCAATCCAAGACAAGCCAAATTGGTACAAAGTACACTACCATGGGTTGCTGAGACAGACTTCAATTAAATTAAGGTTTGTGTTTCCCATACCTATTAGCATGTCCAGCTTCCAATCCATAGGAAGCAAGCGATAGCAGCAGAAGTTGGCTAAGGTTCCTTGGCAGCATAGACAGAAAAAAATCCTCCTGAATTTAAGCACCAAGGGCTGCCTAGGTCTGACAGTGCAGCTGTCTAAGCAGCTTGAGGTTACAGCTCATGTACAGTATCTTCCCTGCTCAGCACACCTTACCACAGTCACCCCATGCGATTAGACCACTCTGTGCTGCATAGCCTTGCACGGGTTTAGTGATCTTCTCTTGGCATTCATATGCAATTTCTGGCATTTTCTTTCATCTGAAAAGCTTTGCATGTCTTGATTCTGCTGCTTCTTCACTGTATTATTCCACGGAGGTGAGCAAGCAGGCAGACAGCCTGAAAAACGGCGGTGACTGCACCATAGCAGGCAGCAGGGCAAACAGCATAACCTCTGTTAACTGAGCAGCAAAACC